TATATATATATAGATATATATAATCCAGTGATTTGATAAGAAGAAAATCCTTACATCTGAGAAGGTAAAACCAACAAATGTGTAAAAAAAAAAAAAAAATCATTCTTGACTGAAACGGTTAATGGCTCATTAGAAATGCTGCAGTTATTATTATCTTCTCCCAATCGAACAATCATTTCAGCTACAATTGGAAGATGTAGCATCATAAAGGATGCAGCCATGGCTTTTAAATCCATGGTAGCCTACCTAGAAATGTCTGTCCCCTGCATTGAGTGCCATGTTTTAGGAATGAACTTTGTCGATGTAGTCCTGTCTTTTTATTATTTATTTTTACCATGCACAGTGCTCGGTCAGCCTCCCAAACCACAGTGGACCCCGATGAGGTGAGGAAGTTCCAGTCACTGGCCGGCAAGTGGTGGGATGAACAAGGAGAATTTGCAGCTCTTCATGCATTGAATGACCTGAGGGTGCCTTTTATACGGTGCGTGTTTGCCCATGACGTGCGTCGCAATAGTCGTATTTAAAAAAATGCCGAGATGTCACGTCTAAGTCGCTGTCAACGCAGGATTGATTGGCAGAGGTGTCAAGCAACTGTGGCAAAACATGACCTGGAGGAGATCCAGCCTTGTGGTATTTGAGAGCAAAAAGAAAAAAAAAGCCCACATCAGGGGTACATAGAAGCAGCATGGATTGAAAGTGACAGGATTCCTCCACACATCAGCACATTTTCAGCAAATAGCATTTCAACTGTTTTGGGGGCCGGCTGCGTCTGTTTTGATTGATAAGATCTGCTGCAGCCCCCCCCCCCCCACAAGATAATCATTACATTACACCCATCCAGCCACGAGCCCCTCGCTGTTCGCCCGCCCGTGGTCCTGGTGGTGGTGGTGGTGATGTGTGTTTGTGGTGACAGTATGACAGTGCCAGTGCACGTCTGAGTGTGGCTGCTTTGCCCGATGCGAGTCTGCCCTCAGGGTGAGTCTAAATGAGGTGCAGCAGCACCGCTGCTACTGTTGCTGCGGCACCTTTTAGACTCACAGTCCAACGAGGATGCAGCCAATCCAGACTTTTATAAACTTTGGTTTTAATTATCGGATAAACTGAATACAGATAATGAAGTCATTAGCAAAGCTTAAATATTTGAATCGCTCATTTGTTTAATCGTCAAAATACAGCCAGCTACAGTAATATACAAAATATTTTTGCACATTGAAACTCCACCGTACTTGCAGCAATATTAAAATACTATAATATTTTTTTGTTCTCAATTAGAAATCTGGCATCGATTTGTATATGACTTCAAATGAAAGGGAATGTCGAGGTGAAAGAGCAACATGTCTTGATTTTGAACGTCACTTTAACAGTCATTTTTGTATGACCAGGATAACAGCTCTCATAATGGCTCATCAGGTGGCGGGGGCTTTACGCTCCTCTCCAGACTGAGGCTAAGTAGCTTTTCGTCGGCGTCGCTCTGTGCTGACGTGCTGTTGGGAGCTAGTTAGGTGGATTATCTGCCAACACCTAATCCTCTCTCCCTCACTGTTTGCACGAATGCTTCTAGTGCCCCGGCAAAGCTTTAACGAGGACGATGCGTACCCAGATCTTAGCCTGCTCCGCACGTGTACAACGCCTGAGGCGGACACTCGTCAGACAGTGTGTGAGGGAGGCATGGAAGGTAGGGAGGAAGGGAGGCAGGAGCGATGAGTGGGGATGAATTCGTAGCCAGAGGATATTTTCGGTCGTTAGCTGGCAGACACTGTAGCTCACGGTGAGATGGAGATGGTTGTGACAGTGGAGGGTTGTAAGTGTGCTCCAACCTCCCATCCACCTCCCTATGCTGAGCAGCGTAGCGTCAGCTGTGGGTGTTTAAGAACGCTCACATCGATCTGGTTGGCCGACTGCAGAAAGGGCGCCCACGCTTTGTTTTCAGAAATAAGACATATACACTGTTTTTCTATTCCTTTGACGTGGCGCTAATGTTAACAAAAATGTAAATAATGTAATTCATATGTATGTTAATGCAACCAGTGTATGCTAACTTGTTTATTTCTTCTTGATATATGCAATTTGGCAATATCTGTGCTGTCTGTTGTGTAGAATCCTGATCCGGTGATCCTTTTTATTTTGGAATTGAACCCACTTCTCATGCACCTGTTCAGGGACAACCTGCTGAATGTCCACAGAGCCCTTCGTCGCGGGAAGCCACTCGGAGGGCTCAGAATCCTGGATGTGGGCTGCGGAGGAGGCCTGCTCACAGAGGTAAACGGGCGCATGTGTGTTCAGTGAGAAAAGCTGCAGACCCAGTGCGAACAAAGACATGCTGACGACAAACGCCTTAGCCCCTGTATGTCCCTGTTTCCATTGCTAATGGTTTAAATTGCTACCCTTTTTTCTACTACAAAGAGAAAGCAGAGCGCTTCCAATGCCGACGTCTTTCTGCATTCATGCGTTCATGTAAAATCTGTTTACAGAGATCAAGTCTTTTCTTTTCAGATATCAGTCAGGATTGTGCGTTCAGCGTTCCGCATTACAGAGCCAGTCCTTTCACATAAATACCAGCGCCCAAACAACATTTAAACGTCAGCTTAGTTCTCCCTCTCTTTTGATCTGACTGGTCTCAGTGTAGTGGAGCGGACAGTCGGTCATTTACAGTTGTTTATCCGTTTGTTAGTGTCGATAGCCGGGCAGCCTGGACAGGGGATGTCCGTCTCTGCCTTTTATTTGAACTGAGGACGTACCAGCTGTGTGGTGTGATTTGAGAAGACAAAATCAGGTCCTGTGCTTCTACGGCTCTGTCACACAGGCTGTCATGTTCAGACACACACACACACACACACACACACACAAAAGAGAAAACAAAAAGTGTCTGTTAGGATTGCAGCTGTTGTTGTGTCTCTGGGTGTCTTGTCACTACAGCTCCTCCCATCAGAGGGGATGAGCTGTGGGAGGATAGAGATCGGCCCCTGGGCAAGTGCAGCTCGCCACACGGGCCTGTTGTTCCACGTTTGTCCACAGGAGGGCGGTGTAGTTCACATCCGAAACACGTCTGATGCTCATCGCCTGGTCTAAAAATGATTTATTTTTGTAAACAGTGATAACACAGGTTCGTGGATTAAATGACCACATCTTTTAAATTTCATGAATTATTTTATAACTCAAAGTCCCACCAAAACTCTAACATAACACAAAATGACTATTAATTAGACTACATATATAAAAAAAAAAAATTGTAAAATGGTGTGAGAATGTATTATTAAAACCATTTTTTTTAAATTGTAAGCACCTTGATTCATTCTAGGTTACATAAAGTACAGTTTAATTTAGTGTTTTAACAGTTTTACAGTCCGTAGTTGAATTGGGAGAGTGACAAGTATCAACATCCTCTATATCACAGACCGTAGCATGGTTTATGGGAACTGTAGTCTGAGGAACAGCTGCACTACCCAGTGTTCTTGCTGACCTATTGTCTCGTATTGTTGTCAACACAATGAGTGATGGAGCCGAAGGCACTTTTCCATAATGTGGGATAAAGTTCATAACTAACTGTTGCTCCATGGAGGCATTTAAAGAATAGAAAATTGACATTTAGTAGATTCTGTTTTGACTTCTCTCTGTCTCCACTCTCCTTCACAAGCCCCTCGGTCGCCTGGGAGCGAACGTGTTGGGTATAGATCCAGTGGGCAACAGCATCGGTACGGCCGAGCTGCATTCGTCCATCGACCCGGACCTTCGGAACCGGGTCTGCTACCGGGCCAGCACTCTGGAGGAGCTCTCAGCAGAGAGGACGGGAGGACAGGAGGAGCAGGGGGCGGACCACTTTGACGCTATCGTGGCCTCCGAGGTGGTGGAACATCTGGCCGACCTGGAAACATTCGCCTCCTGCTGCAACCACGTGCTGAAGGTGTGTCCCGGGATAGTGTGTGTGTGTGTGTGTGTGTGTGTGTGTGTGTGTGTGTGTTTTCCTCCAACTGCTGGCTCACGTCTGATACTTCTGCACCGTTACAGTATGTGTCTGTGTGTTCATCTGAGCGTACGCGAACGTGCAGATGGTGATTTTGTCCCGTTTGTTTTGTTTGCATCTGTTGTGTTTCTCTGGGAATAGGTGAGCATGTGTTTTTATGTGCGCGCGCTGCATTGGACCTAGACGAGCTTGAGTGAAAGCTGTACATCAATACTGAGACCAGATGACTGTAATCTCCCAGATCAGTGGGCCAGAGGGCTGGAGAGGGAAAAAAAAGATAGCCTAATCTTCACTTAATGCCGCTGCATTTGGTTTCGGCACGAATGGACTAGGGTGGCAAAGGCTCGGTACATATCCGGAACATTTCCAAGGAATCTTGTGCACTGTTTCAATATAACAATGATAACTTCTAAAGGTGAACTTATTTGGAGGTAAAATACAAATTAGAAAGCAATGCTAGTTCTTATGTGCCGGTTGAATTGAATTGTAACCCGTGTGCTGCATTCAGCAGCGCACTCTTCTATCACGTGTACAGACAATGTGCCAGCATCCCGTTAAATAGGAGTTCTTCTACATGCACAATGCATTCTCCCATCACATGTGCAGCCCACACTACTGCCTAAGCTTTTATGATATTTCGGTTAAACCAGCAGAAAGTGGCCTAGAGCAGAGTACGCGGTGTACAACTCGTTAACACCTCCAGCTATCTGAGTGAGCTTGTTAATTGAGGGGATTTAATGAATGTATTTTCATTCATTCTTCATTGTAAAACATTTCTTTTCTAAATGAGTTGTTCACTTTAAACCCGAAGTTTGGACACTGACCACGTTGTCAGTTACTAAGTACTTTCCCCCTTAATTAACTTGCTCTCTAGCTAGTTCACCACATGGCCCACGCCACATTGTCTGTATGCATTTGGCAAATGAATGGATTTATTTGGCAACTTAATTGATTATGTCTGCTTATGGTGAAATGTTTGTTTCTATCTCCACATGATAAACACAGCCTGAGCAAATAACTCCTGTATTTATCCATTAGTTATCTCCCATGGAAAGTTTCCACCTTTTTAATATTCCAGATGTTTTGCAACCCTAGACTGGACTTTCTCTCTTTCTCTGGCACAAATCCCTCACTTCTGCTCTTTTACTAAAAAACAGCTTTAAACTGTATCTTGCTTCAGGGCACCGATGCAGGGATGCGTTAGCATGAATTCCTGTGTTGTTTGGATTCATTTGACTGCACTCTCTCGCTTTTGTTTCCTATTTCTTCCACTCTCTCGCCCTGTGCACTCTCCTCCCTCCCTCCCTCCTCCCTCCTCCTTCCTCTCCTCCCCTCCTGTTGAAATTGTTAATCTTGACCTCGGTTGAACTTTGAGGTTTGGCACCCCTACTCTCTGGTCTCTCGCACTGTCTATCTAATCCATTCTATAAATACGCTTATGATTCAGGGAGCAGCAGCAGCTCACCTTGTGTGCAAAGCACCTGTAAGGATGTGATGTCATTGTAAAATATTTTCTGAAGCAATATAACCTGTAAAAACTGTAAATATTTAATACTTAAAACGGTTTCTTTTCCTTTTGTGCAGCCGGGCGGCTCTCTCTTCATCACTACTCTGAATAAAACCAACCTGTCATACGCGCTGGCTATTGTTGTAGCCGAGCAGCTGCTGCACATCGTTCCCAGCGGGACGCACGACTGGGAAAAGTTCATCAGCCCTGTAGACCTGGAGCGCCTCCTGGAGTCCAGTAAGTCCCTCCAATTTCCATTTTTGGGGAAAAGAGCACACGCAGAATGAAGTTTTGTTTTTTTCTGTAAATGACAAACGACAGATGTTGCAGGTCACGCCCTCTTTCTTCTCGTCAACGTCTCTCAGATGGTTTCTCGGTGCAGTCCGTCCAAGGGATGCTGTACAACCCGGCATCAGGAGCCTGGAGCTGGACTAACAGCACTGCCATCAACTACGCCCTCCACGCTGTCAAAGTGAGAGACGATCCCCGCGCGGACCAGGCTGAGGACGGAAGCTCCCACCCGGAGGGCCACGCTGGAGCCACAGCTGAGCCAAACAACTGAGGACCGAGTCAGAAAATAGAAAAACAAATAACATTCAGATGTGATGCGGCGAATGAGGTTGTTAAAGGAAAGGGACGAACGGCCTTGAGATGTAATGTGGCTGCCGGGTCCACGACCAGAATAAGATTGCATCACGCTTTTGGTTGTCTATCAACTTTTGCTGTGAAGTGATGCAAACAGTTAAAGGAATGTTCAGTGTTTGAGCTTGAAAAGCAACATCCTTTAATTGTGTTGTTGAGCGGCAGAGAGATGTGTAGCCACGCAACTTTATGATTTTCAGTACTTCTGTACTGAATCTGCTTTCTATTTTAAGGTTGAATATTTGTGTGATTTGCCATATCCCCCCATTAAAATGGTCCTTTCAAAAGTTGCATTTCTGAGGAGTGATTCATATCTCATGTTGGTTGTGCTCAAGCCCGTAGAAGATGTGTCCACACGGAGGGGGTGGGGGCCGCAGTCTCCTCTGGGATTCTAATGGGTCTCGTTTGGAATTATTACATAATACAAATCAAGCCTGTGGCAGAGAATAAGGCACGCGTGCATGATGTAAAAAGATGATGAAAGAGACCAATGACCGGGCTGTAAGTGCTTGCAGAGATATTTCTCTCTGATGCAGCAGCTAACAAAACGGTCTCTGGGAACCGCATGATGGCTTTCAGGGGTCCCAGCAAACCAAGGGATGCTACTTTGTTATTTAAATGTGTATCAGACTAATTAAACCACTATTGATAATTAAGGGGGAAACCCTCGAGGACTCCCACATATTTAGCTGGGCTACAGCGGTGCCTGTGGAGGACTACTCTTCCCACAATAGTTCAGTTGACTACAATAACAAACAAACCTGCTTTAACGCGCGCTCCCTAAAGCCGCGGGAGTGCGCACCTAACTTGCAGTAGCCAATGGCTGCAGTGAGGACTTTTTAAAGTCCATCACCGGGTTTCGGATTAAAATGCACGTCAGTACATCCTGTGCTGTTGAAACACCTGCTGCTCTCATCGAGATGGAAAGATTTGTCACCCAGAAGGAGACGGGAATTTGACTGGCATCGTCGGCTACACAACATCTTTACGAAATCGTCTTTTCTGGATCCGCATCCACCTCTCGGTATGCTCCGCGAACAGGTTCAAAGACCAGCCGGCGGAGTTCTCCGTCAAGATGAATATCTTCTTACACTTCCGAGGTTGTTCCAGAGTGAGTAGACTTTCTATTCCGCCTGTACGCAACCTTTATTTTATTTTTTACATGTTTACATTAACTTCTGGTTCATACGTTTGTAAATGAACTCGCTTTTAATTAAGCATACACAGTATACTGCAATAAGATTAGAATACTTGAGAATGCGACTATACACTCTATTTATAGCCCATGTGAAGTGAATTTTGCGATTTTAATCATAAACAAATAAACTCCACAAACTACATTATATATCCTATAGGCGAAGTAGATGTCACTGAACTTTCGAGAAGGCTGCAGCCAGTTAGTTACATTTCTTACATAAATATCCTACGGGCACTTAGTCAGTGTTGTCATTGTGTTCTTCCTGGTTAGCCACTGGTTTCGCTGGGATGCAGGGGGCTCGTCTGGACGAGGTGTCTCCTCCACTGGAGCAGATGATAGGCCGGCTGCGTCAAGCTACCACAGTAACACAAATTAACACCGGATGTTGCTCGGGTTCACCGTGAAAATAAGAGTACTATACTCAACCCGTTTATAATTGGCTGTTACTAGTGATAAATGTAATGCTAAAATTATATTCGCAATTCGTGTAGTAGCACTTTGTAGAACATTAGTCAGATCTCTTTCTTAGTATGATTTATATTGTCAAGAATGAGCTTTTATGCTCAAATATGCTGCAATCTTTGTTGAGACCAAGATAGCTGTGTGAAGACCTACATATACAGAAAGATGAAGCAGACTATTAATATGTTGATATACAACTCTTAATATATATGTAGATTGTTTTGGAAAAGGCAAAATAATAAACCAGGTAGTTTGAGTCTGCTAAAAATAAATAAACACCATGTAATAATGTACTATTGCATTTCCCAGCTCAAAAAATCAGTTTGAACCGTGTTACATTTAGAGCTGAAACACTGATCATTAGTCACTTAGTTCTCCAACGGGAAAATGATTAGCTACTATTTAATACTCAAATAATCGTTTGAGTCATTTTCCAAGCAAACACTGCCAAAACTTTTTGGGTCTCAGCTTCTCAAATGTGAGAATCTTCTTATATAATTGAATATATTTTGGGTTTTGGACTGCTGACATCTGACATGTTATAGACAAAACAAACCTGGAAAATAATATTTTTGCTAATTAAAACAATTGTTTGTTGCAGTCTTGATTACTCTAGAAAGATTAGTCACTGTAAAAGTTAATGTTCAAATACATTTTCATTGTTTAAAGAAAATGTAATTGAAAGTCTACAATTTAATTATGATTATTATGATGATGATTATTACTATTATTATCATTATTAATATACAAGTCATCAAAATACCATTGTTGTAACACAGCCCCCAACAGTGAATTTTGTTTTGAAATTTGTAACCGGAAGTCAAGCTGTTGTATCTCTGTTGCACTTGACAAAACTTTCTAAACCCTGCAAAGGAAAGCGGACTGGGCGCAGAGCGTCATCCTGGGGAGGGCGAGCCGAGATGTTTACACCTTCTGGTTTTTCTGGAGAAATATTAGCCACGCGCCGCCGCCATGCCGTAGACAACCCACCGGGCGTTTAGATGAAGCCTAACGGGGACCGCAGCAGGGAGGAAACTGGGTGGCTGTAACCGAGGGGGTTAGGGAGGATGTACTGGGCTGCTGGATTTGCCTCTTCCCGGCCGTGTGTGGTTGAGCTCGGGCGGAATCACAGCCTGCCGCTCGGGCTGTGCGGCTCCGAGCAGCAGCAGTCTCTGTATGGCTATATCATCGCCGTCCCCTTACAGGACTACGGGGGCATTATGTCGGCGCTGGGCTCGGACTCCTGGTGGAAGAAGACCCTGTACATCACCGGGGGGGCCCTGCTGGCTGCTGCAGCCTACCTACTGCATGAACTGCTAGCCATCAGGTAAGGACGCACAGCATGCTCATCTCTTCTTCATCATCATCATCATCACTTCTTTTTATTCAATTCTCAGAGCTGCGCGGGTGTGTTTATCCCACCTGCAGACGGTGACTTATCGGTGTCATTGGTCGGGGCGTGATAAAACCATGAATGGAGACGGGAGTCCTTCCATAGGATGTCATTTCTGTGCAGATCTCGCGGTGGTTGCTGAGGTTTCAGCCGCCCCCCTGTTTCCCTCCTCCCAAGGACACGACGCTAGTTGGAGAGAGATAAAAAAAAAAAAATCAAATAAATAATAAACGAGTCACGCGTCCGCTCCCGCGCCTGCTCCGTCGGCACCTGAGTGTGTATATACGAAGCGCTCCTCGGGCACTGCGGAGTCCGACCGACCTCTTATGAACTCCACCTAATAAACACGCGAGGACAACACGCCTACGTTGACACCGTAATGATGGCGGATAAATGAGATGTGGTCGGTCCCTGCGATGGAGAAGTGATTATGTCAGGGCTATCGTTAGTGCAGGGAGTGCCTGTCAATGGAGGGAGGGGATTTATTATTTTTGGCCAGGCCCGTGCCAGGCACTAAGTACATCCTGTAACAGTGGCCTGGTAGTGTTTACTTTCACTCTACCCCCCCTGTCATAATCTGTGTAACCTTGTAGAAAACGTTGTCACGTGCGGGCTGCTGAGGCCGGACCCCGCAGCCCGCCGGCATGTGACGTGTGTTGTTGGCACCGGCGGGGTGGGGGGTCGCATTCCCTCCACAGGAGACCCCCTAATGTTCGGAGAGAGCTCCTTAAGTGGCTCTTCAAACAGCAGCATTTAAGTAGACAGAGAACATAAAAGAAGGATATAGGACGCGAAACGACAGATGAGGTAAACAAGCGAACAAAGATGAGAACTGGTTCAGCACCACGTGACCGTGGACAGCGACGTTAGAGACTCGAATCAGTTTCAGCACCACATGACGATGGACAGCGACAGATTCAGGCACAGCTGTACAGGGCATAGACTTAGCACTGAGGTCAGTTACCAGTTTATTAGGTACACCTGGCTAAAACTAATGCAGCCTAACAGCCCTGCTGTTAATCGCCAAAAGCTACATCTACCACAATGATCATAAACATATCTGCAAAAGTATTGAAGCCATTGCCGTATGGGTTATGTATGAATATATATTTGCCAAAAGTTATTCACAAACAAAGGCATATATATATATTTTATACAAATTATGAAGAGTATAACTCAATGTTAGGGTTAAAGGGGCAGTGAGTTTGTGTTTTGATGGATTTGCTCTCATTCTCATCTTTAAACAGAGGCACAGGTCAACAGGGAGTTCAATCAGGTGTTACCTAATCATGTTACAGCCCAAAGATGCTAATGTTTTTTTACTTTATGGACATTTGAGGCTTTAGCATGTTGTTGTATTGTGTTGTGTTATACAGATCCATTACTATCACTGAGGGTAGAATAAATATCAGAGAAGACACCCCCCTAATGTGGGGTAAGAAGCCCCTGCATTGGGCGTCTAAGCTGTGCACCATCATCTAACACAATAATATAATAGCTGACCAATGATGAGAAATGTATTATCACTAGCTGACTTCATGTTCCGATAATAACGTTATAGCACTATTAGCTTGCTGTAGCGCTAGCTAGCTAACATAATTTCTGCACTATAAGCATCCATGGTGGTGTGTGTGTGTTATGTAACATTTACTGTTAGAGTAAGAGCAACGTCAAAATATGGAAATAAAGTTAATCTTGTTCATGAATACCAAGTTTCTATATAAATCAAAATGTGTATACATACTGTATATATATATATTTATATTAACCTGGCAACTGTTGTATTATTCATATTAGTGTTTAATAAATGACATCAGTGTTGTTTTTTTATCTGATCTGAAATGATTTTCATCTTTTTTTTAAAATTCCAAACGAGACACAATGTCCTCTTAGATCTGAATCAAACATTGCTCACCAAGTGTGTTATTGGCCTGGTGGTAATAATACAACAATACACTGACAGCTCTTAACATACATGCATATTGACATAATTGTTACGGGGACAACTGATCTACAGCAGTCAAGGGAACACGGCCAGATGAAAGAACATAAGGAGAATAGTTGTGTGTTCAGACAGCAGGCATGAGGGATGGGAAATGTCCAGCAGTGTTGTAAACATGTTGAGCTCTAATTGAGCTCCCATGTAAACATGGGAGCTCCCATGTTTACAACAGTGTTGTAAACATGGGAGCTCAATTAGAGCTCAACCTCTAATTGAATTGAGCGTTACAGAATGATGGAGTTAACTCAGGACAACAACATGTAGGTCTACACAAAGCTTTAGTTTGAAAGTTAAAGAAGTGAAGCCGCCGCCGTCTCTGAAAATAAAAATGCGTGTTGGTGGGTGGTTGAGAGCTCAGGGACACGGGGACTTGCTACTGTGTCACCGTGCTATAATAAACTACAGGTGTGACCGTTTCCTCCCAGGAAGGTTTGTTAGAGCCTGACACTGAACAGCAAGATGCTGAGTTCTGTTTGGTATTCATCTCACAGCACTGGCTGACCTAGAAAACAGGTGGTAACACCCGTTATCTCAGCCAGACTTGTGATAATGTAACTTTTTAATCAAAGCATACCATTACTGTCTGTGAAGTTTGTATCAATGTTCTCTCTACTGTTGTTCCCGCCGGTGTCTACACATAATCAGTGGGGTTAACTATATCGAAGCTGACGGTCCTCCCTGAAGAATCAGCCGTTTGCTGTGGTTTGCTGGGAAGATCCATCACAGCATCAAATGCAAAGCTTTGGAGGGAAGGGCTTTTGCATTCTGCTTATTGTCAATCAAAAATCAAATATTATTGTCACATTCAAGTATTTTTTTTATTTCAGATGGCTTTGGGGACAGCAGATAAATAATTTGTTTTGACACCATGGATTTTAAATTTAAATATATTTGTATATGTTAAAAAACAAATAAGAACTAATCATATTCTGTCATTTTTATACAACAGGCATTTCAAACAGTTGTGGGAGCTTAAGCTTAAGTAGATTAGTCCAAACAACACTGTTGGCTTACTACAGATATTGTGTTCTTCATCTGTGTAGGAAGGAGCAGGAGCTGGACTCTAAAGATGCCATCATCCTCCACCAGTTCTCCAGGCCAAAGAATGGCGTGCCCAGCCTCTCACCCTTCTGCCTCAAAATAGAGACGTACCTGCGCATGGTGGACCTGCCCTACCAGGTGATGCTCAGCAGCATGTCTCAGAGTTCAGTCTCTGTTGGGCTCTTTGTTGTGATTTTTGTATTTCTCCTTCTCAGATGGTTTTATCTGAATACTGTTTTATGGACGTGAACAGATAATGTCCAGTGATTTATTAGAGTATGCTAAATTAGAAACAAAATAGCAAAATTGTGTAATGCACTTGTAAAGTTGGCTGGTTTGAAAGAAAATGGTCAAAAACTGTTCAGCAGGCCAATCCTAGCTTTAAGGTTCTAGCATGGGATAAGCTACAGAAACAATAGATCCTACAATTACCATAATGCAACGCGATAGCATCTTACAGTAGACCCTTTCTGCTCGGTAAACACACCTCCGGGCTCTCACTTATACGTTTGCGGTGTTCAAGCCCCAGCTGAGATAACATTGATGATAAAGTGTCTCCAGTGCTGCGGAAGATGTAACACAACTTGAGTAGTATTCCTCATAATGAGTAAACAGGACTTATTGTGTAAGATCAGTAGAGTGACCCTTGAGGGATCCACTGAAACACACCATATTAAAAGTCAACAATGGGAAAACATTGCATTAAAAATGAACTTGTTAGTCGACAGTAACATGCTGTTTTTGTCCAGGACGTGTCTGTAGAATTCTCCATATTCACATATGAGGCCGCTTCTCTCTGCAGAACTACTTTGATGGAAAGCTGTCGCCGCAGGGTAAGATGCCCTGGATCGAGTACAACCACGAGCAGGCGTCAGGGTCAGAGTTCATCGTGGACTTCCTGGAGGAGAAGCTGGGGGTCAACCTCAACAATAACCTCACCCCGCAGGAGAGAGCCGTGTCCCGAGCTGTCACCAAGATGGTCGAGGAACACCTGTACTGGTAGGGAGCTCATACCCAGAGAGTATGTTGTGTTGGACAAGTGACAACTGTGTCTTTGGGAACTATAATTCTACTCGCTGACACCTTGTTTCAGCCTCCAGTGAATCGAATGGAAAAATCCAACTATAAAGCAACGTTTAGCTCATTCTGAAGGCAGAATACACCTAAACTCAATGTTAAACAGTATCAGGAACCGCCCGCACAGATCTCTATTCAGATCTTTTAATTTATAAGCTTTATTTATGCAGACTCCCAGGCCAGACGACTCTACCCTCGCCATCAGCATTGTGTTAGCAGCCGTCCTTTGCTGTGGTGAGTCACTCCAGTCCCTCTGGGTGAGAAACATGCTGCTGCTAGGAAATCATTTACCACCCCCCCATGCCCTCCACAGAGAGTGTTTTCCATTACCTAAAAGTGCTATCCATCTTTCTCTATCCCCCCTCACACACACACACACACACACACACACACACACACGCACACATTCACTGTTTGATCAAAGGTGATGTGCCCTGTTCTCCCCTCTTTTATAATGTCAGGACACATTTTGAACTGAACCTGTGGATCTTAGTCTTCACCTTCAGACCATTAAAGGTTTTCGTCAGTAAAGAAAGAGCCTAAATGAGGATGTGACATGTGTAACACAGTTCAATGTGTTAAGAAATGTCGTAATTGGGTGTAATATAGGAGATTGCACCTTTCGTGTGCTGTAAAAAGGGAATTCCATAACATTTCTCCAAAGCTATACAGAGGTCATGCATGTAACCGACATCACCCCTCCCTGCGTTTCCTCCTTGCTGTCTTTTCTCTGCTCCTCCACACGTCCTGTGCCATGTTTAGATCCACACATAGACCTATTGATTGCATTATTTATGTCAGGGAAGGGCAATGTGGTGGCTGGGTTGCTCATTGAAGCGCTACCGAGCAGCTGGCCAGCAGCATCAACTGACGGTGAGCTCATACGCACTCATACGCACCCGTCTGGTTGATGCTGCTATGAAAATAAAATAACCTGCCTTATGCTTTATCTGCCATTCATATCAAAGCATTCACTTGAATTATTAGTTTGGTGGAAATAATAGTCAAGAAGAGACAACTAGCCTTTTAAAAAATGTATTCTATTTTTTCACCATTCTCTTGAAGCTGCACTAATCAATATGTTTAATGTTAATGGATCAAATTACTTTGTGTAATGGCCGTGGGTCACTTAGTGACCTTTTCACATTTTAGCCTCTTTAAGCTCCTTTTATTGGTTCTACGAGCCGTAGACTCCGCTCTCTCATCAACCGTGTGTCTAGCAGCAGCAGGCAGCTCTTATTTAATAAATCCACTAAACGTTTCCTGTCCAGCACCAAACGGCACACAGGCAACAGTAGTGACTCTGGTGGAGAATTTAGCAGCTATAAAGAACCACATTATCCTTTTAAGGGGTTGATAGAAACCAAAACGGAGCTAAAAGGGCAGTAAATATTGGACTTGCATTCATCAGGTGAACTCCAAATGTGTCTGCTGGAAGTGTATCTGACTTGCTTATTATACGTGATATTAGGTGAGATATTTTTTACAGTTTGTTCCACTGCCCCAGTGGCTAAAGTAATCAATTCTTTCTTACAAAGTGTCCAGTAGGAACCAATTTAACTATTAATCATTATCTCTTAAATCACAACCATAAGTGGGAAAAACCTACCGACTGCAATTGCAAAGTGCAGTAAGGACCAAAAATCTGACTGTCTTCTTGCATCCCCTTTTTCCAAATCTTGAAACAAAGGACCGTTTATCCTCTTGGGACAGCAGATACTGTAACAGGAAGTCATTTATGGTCCCTGGACAGTCACCACTCCCCAGATGTAATGCAGGTCAGATGCTTTTAATTCAATCTCCATTGAGCGACGAGTCATCTGGGGTGATGCAGATGCAGGCTGGAGACAGAGGCCCCTTTACAGTCATGTCCCGGCTCAGGGGTTAACCACTACCAGCAGAATGATGACATGAGGCTGCCACGCTTTCAGACGAGCTGTGAGAGAAGCTCAGTCCGTATTTCCAATGAGGTGGTGTCGAGAAAGGGCAAGTGTGTAAGGATATAGCGGCTTAATCTTGTTAGTGTTTAAGCAGCTTGGCTCGAAAACAATATCAACTGAGGGCAGAGTCCACGTTTACTGTACCAAATATCAGAGACAGTTACTCTTGATATTTGGTGTAATGATGAGATAAATGCAGGTAAAACAACTGTCTCTTATTGGGTCACTTTATTTAATCTGTAGTCACAAAAGAGGAGATATAGATAAGTAGAAGCAGAGTTAGAGAGGCTTGTTTGCACACATAGACTTGATCCGTCTGTCTACTGCTGTGAGACAAATCTCTACTTGACGTCAGGATGGCTCATGTAGCTGCCCGGGCTTCCTTCTTTTAAAAAGATGTTAACACAAGCGAGAGGGAATCTGAATGACTCAACAAAGAGGCCGTGCAATGCAGCAAAAAGTGTTGTTTTTTTTAATCCAAATCTGTAATGGAATTTCTGGGATGCGTGCACAGTCACCTTTCCTCCTCTAAACCTATTTACAGGAGGAGAGGCAGCGACAGACTCCGAGCTCTTCCTCATGTGCACACAACAGCAGCCTGGCAGTTTGAATATATGATGTCGTGTCCTGGCAGAGAGTTGAAAGCAGCATGGCTGATAAATGGGCAGTGGGACTGAAGTGGTGGTGCACTTTTATTGATTAGGAAAAGTGTATCGTTAAAAGCCATAAAGCTTTTGATGGGAGCAGGACACAGGAGCTGAACCTCTGATGAAAACGTCTTATTGTTGACACTACCGTACACGATGCATGTTCGATTGGTGAGGCTATCAGAAGGTGTAGCGTCTTTGATGGCAGTCACTTCTCTCCCTCAGCGGTGTGACCCTGATACCTGTGAGATTGTGTGTTCGCTGAATGTGATAACCCTTTGTCAGTTTGGAAATAGACTGCTGAGTAAATGTTTTGTTTTTTTCTGATACGAAATGATTCAACAGAAAAGTGGCAGACCCACGATTAGGAAAACCGCCGTGCCACGTTAACTCCATCTTGTCTGTCTTTCAGGACGATAGCCTACTGTCAGTGGGTGGACAACCTGGAGGAAACTCAGAAGCTCTTGGCGATGAGCGGCCCCCTGAGCGACACGCTGAAGTGGCTGCTGAGCCACCTGAACGGCAGCATGGTGCGCAGGGAGATGTACGGCCACGGCATCGGACGCTTCTCTAAGGACGAGGTCTACGCACTGATGGAGAAGGACATGAGGACGCTGGCCACACTCTTGGGTAGGACAAGGGCTGTGTGTGTGTGTGTGTGTGTGTGTGTGTGTGTGTGTGTGTGTGTGTGTGTGTGTGTGTTGGGGGGATAAGCATTCTAATGCCTCCAAACCATTGCCATTAAAATGTCCTTACCTCATCAAATGTATGAGCAGGGATTACCCAAACTCTGTTATATAATCTGATTCGAGAGTTACCAGAWCCTTTTATTTGGCTTTAAAGAATTGCATATTATAGTATACAGTGCCCTCCAGAATTATTGGCACCCTTAGTGAATTTGAGGAAAACAGGCTGTGAAAAAAAATCTTTGCTGTTTATCCTCTTGGTCTTTCACTCAAAATATTCACAAAAATCTTACCTTTTCATTGAAGTAAAATTATTGAAAGAAAAAAAAAATGTTGACTTAAATAAATATTTTTCTCCAAAACATGTGTGCCAATTATTGGCACCTCTAGAAAATCTCATGATTAAAATCTAACTGAAGTATAATTCGTCATATTTTACATTTTTAAGTTCACCTGTTTGATAAGGAACTCTTAAGTGGTTTCACTGGGGTATAAATATGAGGTGATACAGGCCAAATTCCCTTAGTCATTCATCACTATGGGAAAGACCCGAGAACACAGTGACGATGTGCGACGAAAAAGTTGTTGAGCTGCACAAATCAGGAAAAGGATATAAGAAAATCTCTAAACAGTTGAAAATACCCATTTCCACTACCAGGGCAATAATTAAGAAGTTTAAAGCGACGGGAGATGTTAAGAATCAGCCTGGAAGAGGACGTATGTGTACATTGACCCCACGCACCGTGAGGAGGATGCTTCGACTGGCAAAAGAATCTCCAAGGATCACAGCTGGAGAACTGCAGAGGTTAGTTGAGTCTCGGGGACAGAAAGTCTCCAAAACTACCATCAGACGCCACCTACATCACCACAAGTTGTTTGGGAGGGTTGCCAGAAAAAAGCCTCTGCTGTCAATCAACAACAAACTAAAGCGCCTACAGTTTGCCAAACATTACTGGGACTTTCAATGGGACCGGGTTATATGGTCAGATGAGACCAAAATAGAGCTTTTTGGCAACAAACATCAAAGGTGGGTTTGGCGTAGACAGAAGATAGCCACACAGATAAACACCTCATACTCACTGTGAAGTATGGTGGCGAATCTTTGATGTTGTGGGGCTGTTTTTCTTCCAAAGGCCCTGGACATCTTGTTAGGATACATGGTATCATGGACTCCATCAAATACCAGCAGATATTAAATGAAAACCTAACAGCCTCTGTCAGGAAGCTTAAAATGGGCCGTGGTTGGACCTTCCAGCTGGACAATGATCCGAAGCACACCTCAAAATTGACACAAAAATGGTTCACCGACCACAGAATAAAGGTTTTGCCATGGCCATCACAGTCCCCCGACCTAAAGCCCATAGAAAATATGTGGGATGAGCTGAAGAGGAGAGTCCACAAGCGTCAACCTCGGAATCTGAAGGATCTGCAGAGATTCTGCATGGAGGAATGGTCTCAGATCCAGTGCCATGTGTTCACCAACCTCATCACGCATTATAGGAGAAGACTCAGAGCTGTTATCTTGGCAAAGGGAGGCTGCACAAAATATTAAATGAAGAGGTGCCAATAATTGTGGCACATATATTTTTGAGAAAAATATTTGTTTCAGGATAAGAATTTAATGTTTCTTTCAATTATGTTACTTCAGTTAAAGGTTAAATTTTTGTGAATATTTTGAATGAAAGATCATGAGGATAAACAATAAAGACATTTTTTCACAGCCTGTTTTGCTCATTTTTACTAAAGGGTGCCAATAATTCTGGAGGGCACTGTACATCTCTAGCCATTAGTAGGAAGAGTCCTGTTGTTTTTCTAAAAGAACTGGATAGTCTCTAATGTATTCAGAAACTTAGTTTGCAGGAACTCAAAAGTAAATAACAGTGACAGCTCAAAGATGAATTAGTCAGGCACAGGAAGTATTTTCATGTTGATGGCAATGACATTTGTATCAAGCTCATTTATTACAGCACCGCTCGGCGATAATGGCCAAAACACAGTTGGATAGCTCTGGCAGGGTAATGTGGCCTAACGAAGCATTAGTAATAATGACTAATAGAGGCTGACACATTAATTCAGAATACATATGCACAGTGATATATCCGTGGATGAAAAGGCATGCTTCATAATATCAATAAATATCTGTCCCGGAAATAAGCAGCGTGTAAACGTAGTTTATTTCCTTGCAGACAAAATACCAAAGATTCATTGGTACATGTCAAAAGAAGATATATCTGTCATTGCCTTCATGTTTGTACTTCAGTGAGGTATCGAAGAGATGGGAAAGTTCTGGATGTCAGCCACAGGGATACAATATCAGTCTTCAGATGGAAACAAGGAGTGGAAAGAAAAGTGATTTGCATCGATCTGTTTGTGCCATTTCAACCAACGACTGCTCGTCGTAAAACGGAAAACGGATACTCCGAGAGTTAAAGCGCCATCAGTTCACTCAGCTTCTCACTTAACGTTTTCCAAACTCAAGCACTAAAAGTGTAAATCTAAAATCTGTTGATACTGACGATAGTGCAGGTCTGCCAGCCTCAAGATGAAATAAGTTTATTTTTAAAGTATATTCAAAAACAGTTGAAATAGTTATTAATAGCTATTTTCAATATTATTATTATTATTTACCCTTTATTTATCCAGGATAATCCCATTGACATTTTGTATCTCATTTATCTTATTTACATTTAAAGATGGCAGAGTAAAAGTTTCACAAAAACACAAATAAAAAACTTCAAAAAACAAAACAGCAAAATCACATAAAAGAGACAACAGACTTAAAACGAACACCAAATTGCATCAACCAAAGAATTCTCATTCATTGCCAACTAAAAGTAATGAATAAAGGTAATGGGTAAACAGTTGTTAAGGGTTTTATCGCTAATTAACCACCATTACCTCGTTTATTTCCATTCTGAAATCTGAAAATGTCTCTGCCTCAGAATGTCAAATATCTGTATATTCTTTGTCCTGTAGGAGACAAGAAGTACTTTATGGGCTCTAAAATGTCGACGTTAGATGCCACCGTGTTTGGACATCTAGCCCAAGCTATGTGGACTCTGCCTGGGACACGACCAGAGCAACTCATCAAAGGTAAGCGGATCTGTGAAGTACTCGGAGTGGAACAGAATAGTCTAATAATGAACTAAATGAACAGATTAAATCATCGCATATTCACTGAAGATACTGATGCTTTATTTTGAGCTGTATTGCAGTATGTACAAGCATAGTTTACATTGTTATTTACAGTTTTCCTTGCTGTTTTGTCATAGATGTATTTGTCTGTTCCAGCCACTAGATGGCAGTCATATTTTACTGCAATGCAGTGCTCCTGACATAGGCTTTGAATGTTGCTTTCACATCTTGCACAGAGTTGGGCACACTTGAGTCTCTTATCTTTCCAAAGAGCAAAGTCAGAGCTTGTAATGTCACAAACGAAGGTTCTCTGTTGTTGTTTTGATGCATAATTTCTGATGAAAGGGCTCATAATGACGAGGATAACACAAAACATAAAGTATCCCAGATGTATTGTACCAGACTCATGATGTCAATCAGCACCAGTGCTACCTCCTGCTGGTGCTAACTGAACCTGTAAAGACGCGTGCATGTTAAACCCGCTGTGTTGTCTTCGCAGGAGAGCTCATCAACCTGGCCATGTTCTGCGAGCGGATGCGGAGGAGGTTCTGGCCCGAGTGGTTCGTGGATGTGGAGGATCTTTATTATGACGGAGACAGCGAGAGCAGCGTCTCCCCTACAGGCCTGCTGGACTTGGGCCTCTTCTCCCGGACCGACACTCTGGACGACAGCGACGCCAGCAGCCACTCAGCCGGACACACGCACTTGCCCGACTCTGACCACTCGCTCTTTGACTCGGACGTGGGCACGGGATCCGACAATGACGCTCAGTTCAAGGAGGAGCTGATTCCCGACCTGGAGGTCTGACCTGGAGAACGGTCGTGATCGGCTGAAAACGTGGCAGTCTGGACAGGTTTGCCAGAGATCAGCTCTCACAGCTGAAGAAACTAGTCCAGCTCCAGAACCCACAACAACACACCTTCCCGATGGACAGACTGGGTGTTAATATGCAGCGCATACAAACTGAACCTCATAATACACATGCTACTGTGTGGTCTGCCCTCCCTCCTGTGACATCACAACTGTCCCTGTGGCAGTTCTCTCTTTGCCTTATTTGTCTCGTCCCAAGGTACAGAACGCGAAGGATACATTTTTGTGGAAAGGTGCGGCGACGACAGAAGAGTGGTGCAGACGCGGCAGGTGGCACTTCACTTGCTACAAAACGATGCAACTAATCACCACTCCGCCACGTGTCTTAACGCGCGAACCCCGTTCGAACAGGTGGAGATCGATCATGTGGCTGAAAGGAACAGCTGCTGTGTCTCGGTTGTTAACCATCCGTGTGCTGGAGAGGAAACACAGACGACACCGGGGCGCCTGTTCGTTCTCTAGTCTAGATTGATCCCTCGTGTCGTTTCCTTTTATGCTACTGTGTGTGGGAAGAATCTGTATCAAAACGTGATGTATGTCTCCATAAGACCACGTCCATGGGTGCACTCGTAGTCCTGTGGAACAGAAGTCAGAGGGAAAGAGGGGCAGATTTGTGCTCATTACATTTACCAGTTATTATCCTGACTTCGCTCTTTTTAATCATTATTTGCTTGCACTTTGTTATTGGGTAAGTTGGTGCTTTCTATCATTGATTTGAACATCTTTTTGGTTTTGGTAAAGTGCTCCAATTTGTATATTTGACCACTAGGTGGAGTCAGCAGTCAGCCTGATGCCTTCTTTATTCCTTAACGTCAAGGTCATTCCAGCCAGAGGGCCGGTGGTCCTTTTAACACAGTAAATAATTCCCCCTACAGTCCCAAACTTTAATGTTGTGGTTCCCGTTCACAGGTGACCTGTCAGTCTGTGTGCAGGTGTAATGTGCATAGCCCAGCAACAACCCAGCCTTATTTCTTTCACTAAATACATGGGTGAGAATAGTCCTTTTTTTTTGTTGTGATATAATTTATTATCAGTGCCACTTTATTATTCTTTCTATATGATCTTATGTGTCAAATGTATATATTTTTTGTTCATATTTGTTTTCTTACTGCTCTCAAAGAGATGTTTTGCACTAGTGGAAATTTATTTTCACCTTATTTCAATCTGCTGCGGAGGTAGAGAACAAATGAATGGGAAACATAGATGTGTATATACAGGACGCTGAGTGTTCTGATCGTGATTGTGCTGCGAGGGGACTGTGCTGCGTGGATGTGAATCTTACTGGGTGTGAATGTCATCAATGAAGCAGTGGATGAAGTCTTTGCAGAGAAAGTCAGAATACCAAATTGACAGAATTGAACACCCCTAGTTTAGAAAACCGTGGGTAAAGAAATGGACCAAAATGTCTCGGGAATTTTTTGCTTTGGTCCGTCACGTTACGCTTGCTGGAAGTGCTCATAATGGCAATATGATTGCTGTAAAAAGATTGTGGTGCGTATAGAGTAGATGTGATTTAAGGTTAGGGGTCAGTTCACCCAAGTAAAAAAAATAACCTCTCTTACTTAAATCTGGTGTTATTGATCCATACAGGTAGTTTGGGTTTTTATGTGTGTAGCAGATTTCTGCCTCAATACAATGAAAGTGAATGGATTTTTGCTTGTTGTGTTCACAATATTGAAAACAGACAATGTGACAAATTCAGCTCATTGTAATTCCTGACATTTGGGATTTGTTTTTGGCAGAATTTACCCCCCAATGAAAACTGTAATAACAGGTTTTCAAACAGCCTTCACTCCATGATTTTTCCATCGCATGGTGTCAAATCCTTAATGCTTTCCCCCTCATTCAAACGGTTGTTAAAGCTGCTATAGTCTGTAGTTTTATATTAACAAGGGATCAATTGAGTAATGTGAAAGGGGTCACTTGTAATGATGAAACCACAGAGAATTATCACCCGACTCTGCAGATTCCCTAAATTGTTGCCGTTGTGCTTTAACAGCCCACAGCTTTCTGGATTTGGGTTTGCTCTCAATGCTCTTGTCAGCTTCATTTTGAAACACAGTAAGTACACGTTTTCAGCAACAAAGCTCTAAAAACCCCACTGTACGCCCCTCCTGCTCTGCAGCAGACAGAGTTAGTGACTAGTTGGTGACCATAGTGGAGCATTTAGCTGCGATATTTCACTCAGGGGTTGGTGGAGAGCTAAAAACAGAGTAAATATTGGACTTACATTCTACTCTGAATGAATGCTGATGCTGCTCCGTGTCTGCTAGATGTGACTGTCTGCTCACAAGTTTGCCATGCCAACGTCAAAATAAGACTATCTGCACGGCTACATACCACTTGGGTTATAGTGAGAAGATATGTAAAGATGTGTTTCTGTGCGGTTTTGGTGAAGTGACCCTTTAAATGAGAAGCCTGGATAGATGGGTGAGTTAGTGACAGGAGGCCAGAGTTTGACCCGGATCCCGACTGCCCCCCCCCCCCCCCGCCCTCGCCCGGATCGTGCGCTTTTTCAGTCGCCTCATCCAGTCTGGGCATCATATACAGTTGGACTGCTTTAATCAAGCCATATTAAAACTAAATGTCTTGTTATCAAAGCATTACTGCCGGGGTAATGTTAACATTGTTTGTGTGACAACGTGTACCATACTGTATGTATAGAGCTGACTGACTGATCAAACTACCTACGGGTGTGCAGTCATAAACTGGAGCGACTGGTTGATTTCAATAAAGAGTAGCTGTGACAATTTTAAACAGGCCGTCGTTGAGAGCTTAATTTGCATCCTTATGTGTCTGGGGTTAATAAAAGGGTGTCGATGTCATGACGCTGCTTTATTGAGCTCTGCACTGTAGCTTAGTAATCATAATGGCCTCACAGATTGTGTTATGTTGTCATATCTCTGAATGTTTTTTGCATGTGTGGTTGTGTGTTTTCAATCAGGCTAACAAGTCGCAATCATTCAGGTGCGGAGGGGGGCTGATTAAGACTCTGCCAGCTGCTGGAGGCGAGACGAGGAGGAGAGAGGAGCAGGAGCTGGAAGAGGAAATGTTAGGAGAAAAAAACAAATAAGAGAGGGATGGGAGGAAGTTGAGCCAGGGCAAGAAAAAGGCACAACAAAACGTGGATGTAACCAGGAGCAAGGGGAGAAGGAGGGATAAGGAGGAGGGGAGGAGCAGGTGGTGGAGAGGAGAGAAGGGGTGAAGAGGCCAGCACTGAGGAGTGATGGGGTAGATGGGAGTCACCGGGGAGGAGGAAAGAGGAAAGGAGCATCAGGAGTTTTTGGGGGGGAAGGAAGGAAGAGTTTAAGTTTTAGAAGAGTATGGAGGAGGTAGAAGGGAAGGAAAAGGAGAGAAGTTGATGGGGAGGAGAAAGAGCAGACAAGAAAAATAGAAGTAGGAACTAAAGGAGAGGAGGAGGAGGCGCCTGGGTTAGGGGCCCGGGGAGGAGAAGCGAGGGCCACGGATCAGGAACCAGGCTCCCGGGGGACGGAGCAGGTGCAGGCTGCGAGCGAGGCCTATGGGCCTGAAGGGGCTGCCAGAGCTTAAAACAATCTGCACTGCTCCTTTTTTTAATTTGGCTCTCTGAACAACCCACCCTCCACACTGACTGTCTCCCCATCCCTCTCTCTCTCTCTCTCTCTCTCTCTCTCTCTCTCTCTCTCTCTCTC